TTCACATTTTATAGCTTTTCTCTCACAAAGTATTCGCAATATAATCTTGCAACAATTATTAATATACTGCAACGTTATATTTACTTTTCTTCTGCTAAGGCTGGATGCATTCAGGTTATCCCATCATGGCACACCATGCCTCAGCTGCTGAAGTAGTTGGTGTTAAAAAAGGTAAAGAACTGTGGGGCCCCATCCATGAGTTGGGACACAACCAACAGAGAAGCTGCTGGGAGTTCCCACCACACACCACAGAGTGTACATGCAACCTGTGGTCAGTGTATGTGCACGAAGAGGTGCTGGGCATCAACAGAGCACAGGTAGAGTAAATCAATTGTTTTTAAAACTCATTTTAAAATGTTACATCAATCGTCATCAGAAAACTCATGACTGAGTTTTCTGTGATCACATGATTTTGCAACTATCTCATTCCATGTTTTTTGGTGCAGGCCCATGGTCATTTGACTTCAGCAAACCGAAAGAGTCGAGTAGAGGAGTACATCAAGGGAGGAAGGAAACTCAGTGACTGGAGTGTGTGGGTTGCCCTGGAAACATATCTGCAGGTGAGAAATTATAGAGAAATTTTGCTTAGTCCACAGTGAAGAAAACACATGATATGAATAAGACTGAAAGTCTCTAACTCCATTTGATCCAGTCACACTTAAAATCGACCAAGTCACCAACAAATCACTTAGAGTTAGGTTCAAGTTGTATTTTAGCCACATGCTAAACAAGTGTCAGAAACTACAAGATGATACCTTTCAAATCAAATCTCTGACATGCACTTTGCCTTCTATTAAAAGAGTTTGATTTGGGTGTGCCATATAGGTGACAATTTCATGTAGACTTGTGGACTTATAGTGAAGCTAACATTAAATCGTAACAGGTTGTGATGCTTTGGTCAAGAGATTATTGCTCCTAACATAAAAGACAGCAAATAGTTTAAGTTGTTGTTATAATTACCTTCTCTGTAGCTCCAGGAAAGGTTTGGCTGGGATGCCTTTAAGAAGGTGTTTGCTGCGTACCACCACATGAGAGACTTTCCTGATGACAACGGCACAAAGATGAACCTGTATGCTGAGACTTTCTCGCAGACTGTGGGGATGAACCTGACTGGCTTCTTTAAGGCCTGGGGCTGGCCCATCGAAACAGCCACTGAGAGGAAACTGTCCCAGCTGCCTTATTGGAATGATCACCCCATGACCCAGTACAAATGAACTAAACACGACTGCGGAATAAAGAAATGTAACGAGTGAAACTTTAGTTCATTAAACGCTTTGTATTAATCTTTTTATAACATTTATTGCATGCAGAGGAACGTTGTAGCTTTTTTCAGAGTATTTGCACTGATCATTTGCTCCAAATTAGTATCCCTCCAATTTAACTAGATTTCTTTGAGTAAACTTGGACATTAACATGTCCTCTGTGCTTATTTTTACATCTGGGATTGTAAGCTCCACATCAAAAGGAGCCAGCTGAGGTGGTTTGGGCATCTGACAAGGATGCCCCCTGGGCGCCTCCTGGGTGAGGTGTTCCAGGCATGTCCCACCGGGAGGAGGCCCCGGGGCAGACCCAGGACATGCTGGAGAGATTATATCTCTCGGCTGGCCTGGGAACGCCTTGGTGTTCCCCCGGACGAGCTGGAGGAGGTGGCTGGGGAGAGGGAGGTCTGGGCCTCTTTGCTTAGGCTGCTGCCCCCGCGACCCGGCCCCGGATAAAGCGGATGAAGATGGATGGATGGATGGATGGATGGATGGGATTGTAAGACAGGAGGTGAAGAACTGTAAGTTGGGTTGCAGTGTAGAGGAGCTAAATATTATTATTGCTGTTCCTCAAAGTGAAGATCTGTTGCCATAATGTCAAAACGGCTTAGCTCTGTGAATTATAAAAAGGTAATTATTTAGCATACACACAGATTGCAGCTGGATTGTGAGCTGTGGTTATGCTGTTGCTTTTTGGTTTAATCAGTAATCATGTTTTTAATGCAGCAAGTAGCATTTCAGTAAGTCTGTAAAATTCTGTAACTCATAATTATCACTCTGTAATAACCATGTAATGCTTTCACTGAACTTTGAACTTGTCAATCGCTATGGGACAAAACTGGACTCATTTTTTTGCCTCTTAATTGAGAACTGATGCACACAATAAACAATAGTTGTATAATTAAGTCTGTCGGGGTTTTTTTGTTGTTTTTTTTACTATATACACCTTCCTGCAACACAGGCTGTTTGTTTTCCTTTTCAGACATAATTATGATGAAGAAGCCATCATTCACAGCCTTGCTCCCAGTACAACTTTGAATGCATTTATTTCCTCTCACGCCCACGTCAACGTACTCTTGCCTTCCTTCGACATCGCTAGGTTGTGGATATGATAGAGTCGCAACATATGCTCATTAATCAACTATCCAAATTGCCACATTCTTGTCTTAGCAGGATCAATGTCTTTGCAAAACTACTCACTCGTGCCCAATGCTCAACCTCAAATGAAACAACTGCAGTTCAGATTTTCAGTATGTTAAATACGGTTGAACAAAAATATTGCATAACAAACACAATCCCTTCATTTCATGGGGTGAAAAGTAATTGGACAAATCAAAGAACTGAAAATAAAATGTTCACTTCTAATACTTGGTTGAAAACGCTTTGCTGGTAATAACAGTCTGAAGTCTTGAGCTCATGGACATCACCAGATGCTGGGTTTCCTCCTTTTTAATGCTCTGTAAGGCCTTTATGCAGTGGCCTTGATTTATTAAACTCTGACTTCCTTTGACTGCATGTTTTTGTCATTGTCCATCTATATAGTAAAACAGCACCCAATCACTTTGACTTTTTTCCTAAACTGTGCTGGCTTTTCTTGGCAACTTAAGGATGGCTTGTTTTTCTGCATGGAGAGCTCTTTGGATTGCATTCTCTCTGTTCACAGTGAACTCTTCCAAATGCAAGCACCACATCTCAAATCAGCTATTCAATTCAGTTCAATTCAATTTTATTTATATAGCGCCAAATCACAACAAAAGTCGCCTCAAGGCGCTTCATAGATACAGAGAAAAACCTAACAATCATATGACCCCCTATGAGCAAGCACTTTGGCGACAGTGGGAAGGAAAAACTCCCTTTTAACAGGAAGAAACCTCCG